TGTATGTGTATGTGTGTGTGTGTATGTGTGTGTGTGTGTGTGTGTATATATATATATATATATATATATATATATATATATATTGTTTATTAGATTATAATATTATACATTAAATGCTGATGTATTAAATATACTCATTTTTACCTAATATATTTCAGCCAATCATGAATGCTCTAGCAATCATGCACTAGAGGGTAAGTTTTATTTTTAATGTACTAATTTAAGCAAAGGCTTAGTTTTTTTTTATATCGTATCTTTTATATTGTAAAGTGTCTACCTTTTAATATCACAAGCAGCAAAAGTGCATTGTTACTCTATGAGAGAGATTATATATTTATAATGTTTGATAGTTGTAGAGGGTAATGCAAGTGGAAATGAATTATTAATGTATATCATCCTTGTATCTTGTCTAGTGGCTGAGGCGGCGGCAGACTCTTCTTTTGATGGGGGAAGTATGGCTCTAGCAATATTTATCCTGGTGCTGCTAGTGTCTGTTTTACTGGGAGGAACCTACATCTACGTCACCAGGTGAGCCATACAGACAGTCTAATGTGAGCACAGCTCTTTAGTATTTACTAACTGTACGACAGTAAAGAGCTGCCATGTTCATGGGCACTTACACATGTTCTGTTTCTGATTTAATAGATCGCTCCAAGCTACTTGTACTAATGAAACGGTTCTTAGAGCCACCGCTTGTGAAATGAGATTGGTTTCTTCATAAAGCGTGTAATGGCTTGAATCGTAATGATAAAACAGCATGAACACCAGAACATGTGCTGCGCTTAAGCCCGTCAAACTCTCTTCTCTCTTCCTCAGGTGCCGCTATCATTCAAACCTGAGACTTCCTCTGATGTATCCGCATCCCTACAGCCAGATCACCGTGGAAACCGAGTTTGACAACCCTCTCTATGAGACTGGAGGGGTGAGAATCTCACAGAACACCCTAGCAACCGCCTACCAACTACTTAGCAACCACCCAGAACCACTACATTGTTCTGCTCTGGCAAACTTCCCAGAGCACCATAGCAACTGCATAAGAATCATCCAAAACATCTGAGCAACCACCTAGCAACAACTTAGCGCCACCGATCCAGAACACCCTAGTAACCACTTAGTAACTTCTGGAAACCAGCCAGATCACCCTAGCAACTGAAAACACCTTAGCAACCTCCTAGTAACTTCTAGCAAGTCAGAATCCTTTGAAAACCACATAGCTTTTGGAAAAAACATAGTGCTACCCTGGAAACCACCTGGCTCACCGTAGCAACTCAAAATACTTAAAACACTCTAGCAACCACCTAGTAACTCCTTAGCAACCAGTCAGAACCCCTTGGAAACCACATAGCGCCACACTGGAAACCACCCAGCTCACTGTAGCAATTGAAAACACTCAAAACACCCTAGTAACTACTTAGTAACTTCTTAGCAACCAGTCAGAACCCCTTGGAAACCACATAGCACCACCCAGATTATAACGGAAAACATACAAAACACCCTAGCAAGCACCTAGTAACTCCTAGCAACCAGCCAGAATGCCTTGGAAACCACATAGCGACACCTTGGAAATCCCCCAGATTACCATAGCAACTGAAAACCCTAGCAACCCCCTAGTTACTCCCTAGCAACAAACCAGAACCTTTTGGAAACTACATAACGCCACCATGGAAACCACCAAGATCACCCTAGCAATGGAAAACACTCAAAACAACCTAGCAATCACCTAGTAACTCCAAAGCAACCAGCTAGAACCCCTTGGAAACCACATAGCGCCAACCTGGAAACCAAGATCACCCTAGCAATAGAAAACACTCAAAACACCCTAGCAACAACCTAGTAACCATCCTAAACCACATAACGAGCACCCAGGATGCTCTAGTGATACTGCAACAGCGTTTCCATGATCACACATTAGAAGATCCTCCATTATGCTAACATACATGTAATTTTCCTGTGTTTTTATTGCACAGGATACGAGAGAATATGAGGTGTCCATATGAAGAGGCCTACAGACACGTCCCGTGCTGCTCCAGCACTTACAGGAAGTGATGTAAATAGATCCTGTCAACTCCACTCTCCCCACCTCCCCAACCTCCAGGGACAGAGAGGGGCATGAAGGGAACGGGGCTGTGAAACAGGAAGTACCAGTGCAGAGATCGTTCAGCCAGTAGACGTTACTGTGGTTTTATGATACATATATGCTTACAGCCGGAGGTTCTCATTCTGCCATTCACAAACACCCGTGTGTGTGTGTGTGTGTGTGTGTGTGTGACATTACGAGCGAGTGGAAAATAACAAGTGAAGAGTTTGCACAGTGTTCTTTCTCCTCAATACCGTGACTTACGGGACAGTTTAACCCTGGAGTAAGCCCTTTGCTCTGATATAAAGGGGTGGTGGTGGCGCCGTCCTGTGTCTGTCTGTGGCCCGTCCTGCCTGCTGTCATTTTTAAGTCTTTGTACTTATAGAGCAGTTTGTAGTGCAGGTTTTAAAGTAGTATTTTTCCCCCTGCAAGTGACGTCCTACTGCAGCAGAGAGCAGATGATGTATTTATTTTGAAGTATATGTGAAATGTTCTCTGCTGATTGATGAATACTTCATTTTGGAGATCAAGAAAAAAAATGTAACTGATTTCTCTAAAGAAATGTGAAAAAATTAATAAATTCATTTCAATCTTTTCTAACACTGACGTGTCCTGGTTTATTTTAAAAAGAGATCTGACGGATGTGGGGTCCCAAACCTAAAATTTAAAAGAAAAGAAAAGAAATGAATTGATAAAACAAATACAATTATTTTTCAAATTAAATTCACTCCTGAATTTACTTTTGTATTACTTTTTTCCCCTTCATTTATTCTTTTCTGTATTTATTGTTAACTTTATTTTTTATTCTTTCATTTTATTTATTTCTTAATAGAACATTTATGCTTCACTGATAAATCTGTGGCAAAAAATCTGTCCATTGGAAAGAAAATTTACAAAAACAATTCTTTAATATGGAGACTTTTCTATGGAATCTTGTTTTCACACGGCATAAAAAAACTTTTTATCTCACAATTCTAAATTTATGTCTGATGATTCAGACTTTTTTCCGCGCAATCCTGAGTTTATTTCTCACAACTCTGACTTTTTCTTAAATTCCAATAAAAGCTCCCAACTGTGAGTTAATAGTAGTAGCTCATAATTAGGAGTTTAAATTAACATGAGACATAAACTCACAGTTCTGAGATGTAAAATGTCTGAATTGCGAGCTATAAACCTTTGTACTTTTTTTTCTGTGCCGCAAACATAAAAAGTCAGAATTCTGACCTTTTCTATCAGAATTGCAAAAGAAAAAAAGTCAGTGAATTGTGAGATAAAAAGTTAAAATCATTTTATTTTGTATTCTGTGATGAATGTCCAGAGTCTAATGTGTTTCAGAAGCAAATGCAACTGTATGCAAAAACATTTCCCTATATGTGTATGTCAACAGTCTTATGGAGTGGAAACACCTGACCTCATACTTGCATGCAAGAGTCACATTTACTATACAGTGAAAGTTTCGCATCTCATTTCTCAGTCCACCCATTTCCTTTGTTTGATTTATCTTCCTTTGAAAACGATACTGCATCAAATGGCTGCATTACTATCAAATCTGCACATTTTTATACATGCGTTTCCAAAGAATCGTTCAGCACAAACTGAGCACATTTGAGGCTGAGAGACATAGGAAAAGAAAAAGCCACTGGTTGTAGCTGTCAGGAAAGATCGGAACTGATAGTCTGAATGTTTTTAAACTACATTCACTTCCTCTTCTTCGTGCATTCTGCCCATCTGACTCCACCGCAGAGCACTGAGCCTGGAGATCATGCAACGTTCATTGTTTGTGGCGTGAAGGTCAGTTCATCATTTCCTTAAGTTGTGTTTAATGCAACTCGTTTCAGATCACTTTATCGGTGCAATGTCTTTTTATTTTTTTCAGCTCAGCCTGTATTTCCTGTGCATGTGGCATCAATCACTTTCACTTTTTTAATGTGCAAAAAAAAGTGATTTTTAAAGAATGCTGTGTAATTCAAAGACAAGATCTGATTAATCAAATGAGCTTTGTAAGACACTCATGGTTCCTGTAAGCTGCTGCCTTGCAGTTATGAGCAAAATATTTGCAGAAGTAGCCAACAGAGCAAGTGCAGTCACTTCTGTGTTTAAATTGAATCTTTTTTCCGTCTTCGCGTGATGCGGCTGTCAGTCAAACGGGCAGTCGTACTCCTGCTAACGCTCTTCGTAACTTATAAGCTTACTACTCTTTATCAAGTGCTAACATGCCCTGGAAAGGTTCCCAGACCTCATGTGGTGCTGGTTCGAAACTTGAACCAGACACAGTACCGGTATAACCAGAACACGCCGATAGTGTTTGTGGGTGGCGTTCCACGATCAGGGACCACCTTGATGCGCGCCATGCTAGACGCCCACCCTGACATCCGCTGCGGGGAGGAGACGCGGGTGATCCCCAGGATACTGTCTCTGCGGCAGGGCTGGGGGAGGCAGACGGAGGAGCGCTGGGCGCTGGAGGACGAGGGAGTCAGTCAAGAGATGCTGGACGCTGCGACCAGAGCGTTCCTGCTGGAGGTCATCGCACGGCACGGGGATCCTGCGCCACTGCTGTGCAATAAAGACCCCTTTACACTGAAGAGTGCCGTTTATCTGTCACACATTTTCCCCAAGTAAGACATCTCCTTTTTAGAGGTGCACTCCAGGATTTTATTTTATTTTATTTAAAAAGCTTTGCACAGACATTTGTAGTACTTCTGAAAATGTTATTTACACTAATTTTATATGGAGTGTGTGTTCCATCATTGATGCCAAAACCTGTCAAAATCTTTTTGCTGATACAATCTAAAATTGATTATTTAATTTTATTTTCAAAGCTTTGCACAAAGACATCTGTAGTACTATGAAAAATATATTTACATTTGCCATCACTGGGGCCAACATGCTTTCGTTAAAAAATGTAGAATCTAAAATGTATCATTTTTATTTATAATTTTATTTATTTTAGTTTCTTTTATTTTATTTTACTTTAATTACATTTTTTTAATTATCATTTTTTTCAATTGTTATTATTTTAATTATATTAAAAAAAAAATTTTTTTTATGTACATTAGCACAGAGTAAATAATGATAAATATATGTGACCCTGGAGCACAAAAGCAGTCTTAAGTCGCTGGGGTATATTTGTAGCAATAGCCAAAAATACATTGTATGAGTCAAAATTAGCGAGTTTTCTTTTATGCCAAAAATCATTAGGATATTAAGTAAAGATCATGTTCCATGAAGATATTTTGTAAATTTCCTACTGTAAATATATCAAAACTTAATTTTTGATTAGTAATATGCATGGCTAAGGATTTAATTTGGACAACTTTGAAGGAGATTTTCCTCAATATTTATATTTTTTTGCACCCTCATATTCCAGATTTTCAGATAGTTGTATCTCATCCAAATATTGTCCTATCCTAACCTAATACATCAATGGAAAGCTTATTTATTCAGCTTTCAGGCGATGTATAAACGATGTAAAAAATGAACTAGATGTTAAAATATATTACAATACAAAACAGGTATCTTCAATTGTAATCATATTTCACAGCACTGTGTTTTTTTTCCAATCGTTTCCATAAAGGTTTTCACATAGATCATAAATCAATTACACTGGACTTCCTGAATATTGCAGTTTTTTATGTCATGTTTTGGGAAATGAGAGCGTGGCGTAGCGCTCAGTGTCGCACTGAATGCTGTTGCTATGTGCCTGAGTGCATTTTATTGACCTAGATATTAAATTGAGCCATTCTTCTTTTCCTAGTGCCAAAACGCCCTGTTTTCCCTCGTTTTTTTTTTTTCAAAAGTGAATTGTTTCAATAAAAATATTCATACAAATTCGGCCAGTGTGTTATTTTCAATCCTTGTGGTGCATTTGTTTTTATCTCGAAACGTTTGATCAGAGCAGTGCATCATATCACTCCGCCTGTCCCCAAACCCTCACGAACACATAAAATAAACATAAATATCTGTTTTACGTCCACAAAACTTATTTATAAAATGCGCATTTGTATATCTTCAACATAACACATATGCTGGTGCTTGCCACAAAACCAGGTTTTCAAATTGAATGTCTGCAGTTGTTTAAATAGTGCGTTGGGCGTAGCGGCGGAAGGACACAGCGCGTTCTGTATAAATAGCCGGAGCTTTTGTTTTGAGCCCTTACATTCGCTCCCGTGACGAGAAGACAGAGACTCGCGCATTCCGCACTCTTCCAGAAAAGAACATTTGTTTGTAAGTATGAAGTAAAATATACACAAACGACGCCAGTTATATCGCTACTTAAAAACAACACTATTTTATTTGGTTTGAAGCGTTTGTGGAAATATATAAACGTTTATCTTTGAATGGGTTAACTCGGTAGCTTTTAATGCTAGCAGGCCCGGTCGTTTCTGTGGACTAATTCGTCCGTTTTTGTAGCTTAATGTGGCTGAATATTAAAATACTAAACATCGGTGTGTTTTCTGTTTGTTTTGTGCGCGTTAGGTAATTTTGGCAGCTAATTGTTATTCCGCGAAACGGTCGGTGAATCTCAATTCATCTGCGTATTATCTTTCAACGACTTCTGTCAGCAATTGACACGTCGTTAAACATTTACCTGCTCGTAATATAACTCATCAATTGTCATGTATCTGTGGTTATTAACGTTTTGTTCCGTTGTTATTGTTTCTGGCCATTTTCTGAGGTATAACGTCGCCATTTTGTTTTCAATCGCCCGTTTGTTACGCCCTGCCTCACGGCTGTGTCGGCCATCAGTTTGCTGTTATTCCTCCTTTTGTTTCGCTTTCTTTTGTAGAAATTTCTAGAAAATTCTTAGGCTTTTCTAACAATACTAAATTAACCTGTACTCGTTGTTAGGTTTTCACCAATGCAGCACATACTTTGAAGTTAATCAATGTGAATATCTTTGTTTTTAGCGTAAAGATGCAGATCTTTGTGAAGACGCTGACTGGCAAGACCATCACCCTCGAGGTTGAGCCCAGCGACACCATTGAGAACGTCAAAGCTAAAATCCAAGACAAGGAAGGCATTCCTCCTGATCAGCAGCGTCTGATCTTTGCTGGCAAGCAGCTGGAAGATGGACGCACCCTCTCTGACTACAACATCCAGAAGGAGTCCACTCTCCACCTGGTGCTCCGCCTCAGGGGAGGCATGCAGATCTTCGTCAAGACGCTGACTGGCAAGACCATCACCCTCGAGGTTGAGCCCAGTGACACCATTGAGAACGTCAAGGCCAAGATCCAGGACAAGGAAGGCATTCCTCCTGATCAACAGCGTCTGATCTTCGCTGGCAAGCAGCTGGAGGATGGACGCACCCTCTCTGACTACAACATCCAGAAGGAGTCCACTCTCCACCTGGTGCTCCGCCTCAGGGGAGGCATGCAGATCTTTGTGAAGACCTTGACTGGTAAAACCATCACTCTTGAGGTGGAACCAAGTGACACCATAGAGAATGTCAAGGCCAAGATCCAAGACAAAGAAGGCATTCCTCCTGACCAGCAGCGTCTGATCTTTGCTGGTAAGCAGCTGGAAGATGGACGCACCCTCTCTGACTACAACATCCAGAAAGAGTCCACTCTCCACCTGGTGCTCCGCCTCAGGGGAGGCATGCAGATCTTCGTCAAGACGCTGACTGGCAAGACCATCACCCTCGAGGTTGAGCCCAGCGACACCATTGAGAACGTCAAAGCTAAAATCCAAGACAAGGAAGGCATTCCTCCTGACCAGCAGCGTTTGATCTTCGCCGGCAAACAGTTGGAAGATGGACGCACACTCTCCGACTACAACATCCAGAAAGAGTCCACCCTCCATCTTGTCCTGCGTCTGAGAGGTGGTATGCAGATCTTCGTCAAGACGCTGACTGGCAAGACCATCACCCTCGAGGTTGAGCCCAGCGACACCAT